TAATCTGCTCTGCATACATGTTGAAAAGGTATGGAGACAGGATGCATCCCTGGCGTACACCCTTCCCAATTTTGAACCATGCAGTGTTACCCTGGCTCAGCGAATGTGAAATCGTTGGTGATCACAGAGCAGGAAAAATTGTCATCAACCTCACAGGCAGGTTAAACAAGTGTGGTGTGATCAGCCCCAGATTTGATGTGCAGCTCAAAGATCTAGAAAAGTGGCAGAATCATCTTGTCCCATCAGTTCAGTTTCATTATAGTGACAACTGCAACCAGGCAGTTGCTTCCTACAAGGGAGCAAGATGAAAACACACAAGAGGAAGAATCCATTTTCTTTTTCTAGGGATATAACACACAGTGCAAATCAAATGCCTCAATGGACTATAAAAAAATAGGATGGAAATAAAACACAGAGTCACTGTACTTTAAAGAATTGGCCACCTGGAACCATTTCAGGAAGTAATATATGATTAAGAACAAATGGTAAAAAAAGGAGGAAGAAGTTCAAGCTGCACTAAAAGAATTGGCAAAATGTAAGGACTCAGAACTGAGGCTTTTCAACCAAAAGATGCAGCTCTGGACATGCTCACTAAGCTTTGCCATGAAACTTGGAAGATAGCCATCTGGCCAACTGTCTGGAAGAGATCTTTATTTTTTCCCATTCCAAAGAAAGGTGATCCAAGAGAGTGTGGAAATTATCAAACAATATCATTAATCACATGCAAATAAAACCTTGTTGAAGATTATTTAAAAACTTCTACAACAGTACATCAACAGGAAACTTCCAGAGATTCAAGTACGTTTTAGAAGAGGCTGAGGAATGGTGGCTATCATTGCTAATCAGATGATTGTGACTTAAATTAGAGAATACCAGAACATTCTTTACTTGTGTTTTATTTACTTTTAAGCTGGGATTTGCTACACAAAATACTTAATGTTTAATAATAAAACTTTTAAAGTCAAGTAAATAAAGTGTGTGTAAGTTGTGAAACTTAAGAAGAAAGGAAGGTATATAACAGTAAGTATAATATTTTAAAATTAAGAATGCATTTGATTTGTATTTATACTTATGACTTCTATAAGCATGACACTCCTTTGGACAGATAAACTGGTGATACTGGCAATCTACAGAGTTGGTGGGTTGCTGGAGGAGCGAAGGGGAGAAGGATATCTCTTATTGCATACTCTTTATTTTGAATTCCAAACCATGTGAAGAAATTTGTTGTCTGTTGTCATTATGTGCTGTCAAGTCGCTTGTGACTCATAGTGACCCTATGCACAACAGTTCTGAACCTTGCTCTACCCTGAGCCAACCTTATTTATTATCTCTGACACACTTACCTCCATTACCCCAGTCACTGATTCAATCCATCTCATCCAGGGTCCTCCTCTTCTGTGCTGTTTCTCCACCCTCCCAAGCATGATGTCCCTCTATGAGGACTGGTCCTTCCTTGAACATGTCAGAGGGAGCTACAGAATCCTTGTCTCCAAGGAGCAGCATGGTTTCACCCTGTCTCGTACAAACCTGTTTGTTCTCCTAGAAGTCCACTGTATATTCAATACTCTTCTCTATTAACCTATTAAATCAATGCTGGGGGAAAAATATCTACACGACAGATGGGAAGAGGTTTTAACTCTTTTGATAATAATACTTTAGTATTATTTTGCTTTGTGTAAACATGTGTTACATGTTACTTGTGTAATATATCTTGTAGATAATTACCTTCTGGGCTATCCATCCAACTTATAATACTGTCTCCCCACACACATACTCTGCCCTCTCCGAAGGACTGTTTATGCATAGACTCACATTCTTCTTGGTCTCTCGTAGCTGTTTACACTCCTCCACCAGTCCTCTGACAAAGACAGACTTGTCACACAGACCTTATCAGTTACTGTCTCAGGGTCCAACTCCAGAGGTCATGACAGAGGATGTCAACTCTCAGTCTTTGAAATGGCCCATCAGTGACAGTACCTTTTAAGCCTTTTAAACCCTATGCAGTTGGCTAAGCTTCCTGAGGCAGAGACAGCTCAATCTAAAGGGACTATGGAGTGGGAGAGAGGACTGTAATCATGAAGGACAAGGGAGAAGGGAGAAATAGATGGGAGAGGTAAATGGTGATGAGGCAGCTGCAGAATCAGGAGGACGTACTGCAGGGGAAAGCGGGGTGTGTGACCAACCTCACGAAGCTTCTCTTGGGCTTCAGCCAGCGCTGCCTGCTTCTCTTGGAGTTGGCCTAAGGCAGCATTCAATCGGGCCCGCTTCGGCTCCACCACCCGATACAGTCTGCCGTACAGCTGGAGTGAGAGGGTCAGGCTATGGGAGCTGCCCATCAGAGCCTTCCCACCCAGCTCATCTCCCCATTACCCAGCCTTTTCTTCCCAAGCTTGTCCTCCCTGCTCCCCACACCCTGCTTACCTCCATGGCCCGGACCCACATGCAGAGGGACTTGGCAGCAAGGGAGACACGGCCAATGATATCAGGCTGAAAGTCGGGCTGGGCGCAATAGGCCCCAATCTTCTTTAGCACCTTGTCTGAGATATTGTCTTTATCAAAGTGTATCAGGGACTTAATGAAGTTCTGTTCCCCTGGGGGATGAAAGCAAGGGGGGAGGGTGGCAGGTGCCTCAGCTAGAGGCCTAGTCCCATCCTCCTTCTCCACTTCTCACCTCAACTATAAGCACTCTGTCTGCCAGTTTTTCATATTGTGGTGACTTGTAAGTTGCTATTATGCTTGAAGTTATGCCACTGGTATTTCAAACACCAGCAGGTCAACTGTGGCACATAGTTGCAGTGGAACTTCCAGACAGTGACAGAGTAGCAAGAAAGGCCTGGTGATCCACTTCCTAAAATGAGTCAATGAAAACTCCACTGAAGAGTACCCACTAGCAACGGTATATAACAACGACAACCGGATAAAGGGTGCTCTGATGGTTTAGTGGTAAGCAGCTGTGCTGGCAACCCAAAGGTATGTGGTTCAAATCTACTAGCTTCTCTAAGGGAGAAAATTGGGCAACTTCTCCTGCATAATTTACTGCCTTTTAAACCTGCTGGAGGGTCAGCTATGGGCTGGTTTAGCTCAATGATGGCACACAACAACAGGATATCTTTTGACCCTCTAAACACACAAGTGGCCACAAACATGGACTCAAGTACACCAATAATAGTGAAGAGGGCATGGGACTAGGTGGCACTGCATTGTGTTGTACATGGCTCTGCCAAGAGTGAGGCTGACTTGAAGGCAACTTAGAATGGCTGAGGCCTGTGGTACAGTGGCACTATTGTTCAGAATGGCTTTTCTGGACCATTGATGTTGACTTTTTCCACATCGCTGGGTAGAATGTGTTGGCTTACCGAGCAAGGGATTGGCTAGTTTCTCCATTCCATCAGGTTTTAGTTGAGCAAATAGAAATTCAGGAATCTAACTACCAGCAAATAAAAAGAAGCAGAGGATGCAGCACACATACATTGGGGCCAGAGAGTCCATCTCAGATGGAGGACACAGGAAAGCACCAGCAGCCGCAGATGAAAGAACCAGAAACTTATATGGGACAGAGATGACCTGGGACTGCTGGGGACAGGCTGGGGACCTTTGCCCAGGTTTGCTGGACAACTAGAGGTGGAGAGAGATGCCTTAATTAGCAGGACTAAGAGAGCTTTTTAATACCAGCTGAAAGCCACAAGTCTGAATGGCCTGCAAATACACTTTTGACTGACAAATTGTATACTATTGCAAACCCGAGTTGTAACCTGTTAGCTTCCCTAACAAACCCCTTAATTGCAAGTATATTTCTGTGAGGTCTATGTGCTATTACAACAAATTTTCGACCCAGGAGAGAGGAGGATTCATGCTGGAATCAGTAGAAAGAAGTACGAATGAAAGCTGGGGTGGGGTGGTGCTATGGGACTTGGTTGTGTGTCATGGATGCTGCCGACTGGGGCAGGTCCCCCTCAGGGCGTTAGTAGCATTGGACTTGGCCGTCCTCACATTGCTTTTGCTCTTTTTTACACAAAGCTGCTCCTTTTCCACATAGTCACATTTCTCCTGGGCTCAGTTCCCAAGAATGTCTGATGCTCACTTCCCTAGTAATCGCTCAGGTCCCAGACCTTCCAGTCTTCCCAGCCTTACTTCTTATCACTTACCTCTAACATTTCAGACAAGTTACCTTCACATCATCCTTTATAAATGCTTTGCACTCTCCTCTAGGGCAGGGCTTGGCAACTATGGACTGCAGGCTATATTTTACTGAGGGAACCCACAAGGAGAGCAGTTTTCTGTTTTCTAGTTCTTATCCCTTGAGGACATTCCTACTCCTGGGTTCTCTGAGACATTCCTACAGCTTTATGACAGTTTCTTTCCCTTCCCCACTTAAATTAGGATGCATTCTCCTTCCCAAGAATCTTAATTGATACATACACCTTCCCTTTTCCTACTAGGCTCTATGCTTCCTGAGGGTAGGATCAATGTCTCATTCATCTGTCTCTCCTAGTTTCTCTTGCACAGCAGAGGACTAGTCAAGATTGTGGCTTCAAGTCAGTTCTCTCTTGTTCTCTGGCTTACCTAGCTGTCTCTTGGCCTCGGCCCATGTGGGTTCATTGCCCCGCAGAATCATAACTGCCTGCATCACTATCTCCACTTGGGCAGGTGGCCGTCCATAGGACTTGATCTCTCCTATGTCCTTCTTGTTCAGAGACTCCAGGGCCTGGGATGAGAGATCAATTTAGGGAGAAGGGATAGAAGAAAATCTCAGTTGGGAAAGTAGGCCCTTTATGGATATAAGTACTGACTCTTCTTTCCATTTCTCTAAGGACCTTGAGGATATAAAGAAACCCATTTCCTTCCTTGGACCCCATCCTTACCCTCATGGCCTCTTCTAAGGCTGGCAGGGCCTCTTCTAGATCCTTCTGGGCATTGTCAGCCAGAGCCTGACACTTGATTTCCTCAACTGCAATCTTCTCACTGTTGGCTGTCACTGCCTGGAGATGAGAGAAAGGAGCCCTCATGGTGCAGTGGTTAAGAACTTGACTGCAGACTAAAAGGTCAGCGATATGAGCTCAGCGACCACAGGAGAAAATGTGCCCTCTGCCCCTGCAGAGATGACGGCCAAGGTTCAGGCAAAGACAAAGGTGGGTGGTGGTGAGGAAGATGGTAGTGTTGGCGAGAAAAAAAAAAGTAAGGAGTGGAAGCTGTGTCCCCTGAAGCGGGAATCTGTGGACACTCAGAAGGCTGTTCCCAGTGGGCAGTGATAGTCACGGAGGGGAGGGCTGGCACGTGATGCCGGACCTTCTGCTGCTCGTCTGCCTCTCGCTTCTGCTGGACAATGATGACCAGGTATTCCTCACACTGCTTCTGGAAATCGGCCACCTTCTTCTTGGCATCCTCCAGCTCTAAGGACATCACCTCCACCTTTTCCCTGGTTTCATCAATCTTAAACAGCCCTGTTCGTAGCTTATTGGCTTGGTCCAGCAGCTCTTGCCGCTTCTCCCCCAGCAACCTGGAGGACAGAACAAGGAAAGGTGGCATGAGAAGTCTCCTTGTCCAAGCTCTCTTGGGTCCTGTCTTCTCTGCTTTCCCATCACTCCCCTTAGGTCTTTATCACATCCCGCCAGAACCCTTGCTGACCACTTCCCATTTGATGCCTCCAGCATTTCTCCCTCCCCTGTACACTACACACCACTGTCACTGCCAGCTTGCTAAGCAGTTTTCATCACCCCACTTCCCCTACTTGACAATCTTCAGTTGTTCCCCATTTTGCAACTGGTGAGGTGGGAACGACAGAAAGGCACGAAATACATGCCTCAAAGGGGGCAGGAGGAAGCTCTGGTGGCCTAGTGGGGAGGAGCTGTGCTGCCAACCCAAAGGTACTTAGCTTGAATCCACTAGCTCTTCATGGGAGACAGACAAGCAGTTTCCTCCTGTGCAACTTGCTGCCTCTGAAAACCCATTGGAGGGCCAGCTATGGGTCAGTTCTAACTCAACAGCACACAACAACAATAAAGGGGGTAGGAAGAATTTAGTACAGAGCGACTTTTCCTCTGTTGGAGTGCTAACTCTGAGTCGTAAAGAGAAACTGGAAATCTACACTTCTATAAGGCTTCCTAATCTTAAATGTTAAAATATTAACATTTTAACAAGTCTTAAATTTTAAACATTCTTCAAAACAACTATGAGATATCATCTCACCCCAGTTAGAATAGCAAAATTTAACAGAGCACACACCCATGTTTATTGCAGCTTTGTTCACAATAGCAAGGAGTTGGAAACAACCTAAGTGCCCATCAAGAAACGAATGGCTAGAGAAGTTGTGGTATATTCGCACAATGGAATACTATGCTGCATTAAAAAACAAGGAACTCATGCAATATTATTCAAAATGGTTGACTCTGGAG